TTTTAGTCATTCTTTTTTTTTGAGGCAGGGTCTCACTCTGTTGCCCAGGCTGGAGGGTAGTGGCTCTATGACAGCTCACTGCAGCCTCCATCTCTCTGGTTCGAGCAATTCTCCCACCTCAGCCTCCCAAGGAGCTGGGACTACCAGTGTGGAGTCCTGGTGTGTAGCCATGTCTGGCTATTTTATTTTTTATAGAGATAGTGTGTTAGGCTGTTCTTGTGTTGCTATAAATACCTGAGACTGGGTAGTTTATTTTAAAAAGAGGTTTAATTGGCTTATGGTTCTACAGGCTGTAAAGGAAGCGTGGCATCAGCAGGCTGTAAAGGAAGCGTGGCATCAGGAAGCTTCCAATCATGGCAGAAGGCAAAGGGGGAGCAGGGGTCTCACATGGCAGAAGCGGGAGCAAGAAAGAATGGGAGGGGAGGTGCCACACACTTAACCAGATCTCACAAATACTCACCATTACAAGGACAGCACCAAGCCACGAGGAATCCACCCCATGACCAAAACATCTCCCACCAGGCTCCATCTCTAACACTGAAGATTCCATTTCAATATGATGTCTGGGCGGGGACAAATATCCAAACTATATCAGATGGGGTCATTTTTTTTTTTTTTGAGACAGAGTCTTGCTCTGTTGCCCAGGCTGGAGTGCAGTGGCACGATCTCGGCTCACTGCAAGCTCCACCTCCTGGATTCACGCCTTTCTCCTGCCTCAGCCTCCTGAGTAGCTGGGACTACAGGCGCCCACCAACACGCCCAGCTAATTTTTTTGTATTTTTAGTAGAGATGGGATTTCACCCAGATGGGGTCTTGCTATGCTGCCCAGGCTGGTCTCAAATTCCTGGGCTCAAGCTATCTTTCCGCTTTGGCCTTCCAAAGTGCTGGAAGTAGTAGCATGAGCCACCGCACTTCCCAGCTTGTCAATTTAAAAAATAAAAATTAAAAGAAAATTTTAAAAAATATAATTAAAATTAAACTGATTACTTAGACATTTTAAAGTCTCACTCAATATGTTGAGAGATATATAATAGTTTTCTGTGTACAGGTCTCATGCAAATTCTGTTAAATTTACCCCTAGTATTTTGTGGTTTTTAAATTCTCTTTTTAAGTGGTACTGCTTTCATAATTTCAATTTCGAATTGACTGTTAGTACACAAATAGAATTGACCTTTTTTTGGCTTTGTACCTTGTGGCTTTGGTAAACTTGCTTATTCGTTTTAGTACCAGTTTGTAGCTTAGAATTTTCTGCAGACAATAATGTTATCTTCTTGTTTTGAGACAGAGTTTCGCTCTTGTTGCCCAGGCTGGAGTGCAATGGCGCAATCTCAGCTAACTGCAACCTCTGCCTCGTGAGTTCAAGTAATTCTCCTGCCTGAGCCTCCTAAGTAGCTGGGATTACAGGTGCCCGTCACCAAGCCCAGCTTATTTTTGTATTTTTAGAAGAGACAGGGTTTCACCAGGTTGGCCAGGCTGGTCTCGAACTCCTGACCTCAGGTGATCTGCCCGCCTCGGCCTCCCAAAGTGCTGGGATTACAGACGTGAGCCACTGTGCCCGGCCATTAATGTTATCTTCTAATAAAGATCACCTGAAATTTCGTTTTCAACTGGTACAAATTTTGTTTTCCTTGCCTCATTACTTGGGCATGTCCTTTGGCATAACACTGAAATAAGTGGTGACGATGGACAACCGTGCCCTGTCCCTGACCCATGGAAAAGCTTTCAGTTTCTCACCACTAAGCGTGACGTTGGCTGTGGGTTTTTGTAGTTTCCCTTTGTCAGGTTGGGAGTGCAGGAGTAGAACAGATTCGAATCTTCTCCTCCTGGTTTACTGAAAGCTTTCGTCGTGAATGAGTGTTGAATTTTGTAGAATGCTTTCCTCGTGTCTATGGAAATGACCGTGTGGTTTTTCGGTGTCGGTCTGCTAACAGTGAACGACAATTGATTTTGAAATGTTAAACTAACTTTGCATTCCTGGGTAAGCTCCACAAGGTCATATGTATCCTCTTTATATATTGCTGGAATTGATGTGACGTTTTGTTAAGGGATTTTTGCGTCTAGGCTCCTGAGTGGACTTTAATTTTCTTGTCATGTCCTCGTCTGGTTTTGGCACCAGGGTGATGATGGCTTCACAGAGAAGCTGGGAAGTGGCCCGTCTTCCTCTGTGTCCTGGAAGCGTCTATGTAGCAGGGTGCTTTTCCTCCATTAGTGTTTGATGGGCTCCACTGGTGAGTCTTGGCCTGGACTTCTTTATGAGACGGGCCCTTTCCTAACTCTGGCAACAGACCTTTGTGCTCAAGAGCCCTGGCTCCCTCGGGGCTCCTGCCCCCACCTTACACGTGACAGAGGGGGACCAAGGGCTGTGGCATCACTGTCCTGAGCGCCTCCTGGCTGGCCACACCCTGGCACACCCCCTCCTGGAGCACCCCAGCACCAGGCCCGCTGGACGGAAGGGCAGTCGTCCTGTTGACCCCCACGAAGATGGGGGCAGGGAGGGCACGGTGTGCCATCGATAAAGCGTTGAGTCTGGGGTTTTGTGCAGCACATTCAACAGGAGACAGCAGGAGGGCCGAGGGAGGCTGGAAGGGCAATTTGAGGATGGGCACTAAGAGGCTGAAGGCTGAGTAGCCCCTAGTGCCTGGAGGACAGGCAGCGGGCCAGAAGAGAGGCCCCAGACTGAGCTCCAGAGGCCACCAATGGCACAGGCTGCTCAAACACAGACAGGGAAGAAAAGACCTCAGAGCTGCAGCAAGGGGTGGGAGAGGGATGCAAGCTGGCAAGGAAGTGGCAAGGAAGAAAGCAAGAATTTTGGCCACTGGAGCAGCTGTATGCAAATGGTCAACAGGGCGAAATGCTGCTGAGGACACCACAAAGCTGCGTCTGACTCTGCTGCAGGCTAGGAGGCCAGGTGACCGTGGCAGCAGAGAGAAGGCACCTCGGGCCAAGTGCCCCTGCCTTCTGGCTGTGGCCTGACGCCCTCTCCTGGTCTCCTGCACACCCTCGGCCTCTGTTGGCACCTGGACCAGACCACTCCCAGTCAACCTCCAGCCAGATGTCACTGCCTGACAGTTTCTCCAGCTGGAGGCCCCAAACACTAAATTCAGCTAAAAACGACTGCTGCCCCCACTCACAGCAGCAGCAGCCGGGGTGGGGGGGGGCCTCTGCCTCTGTCCCATGCTCTCAGCCCCCCTTCCCTGCCCCCACTGGCAGGGCCCTGACTGTTCATGCTCAGAGGCCCCAGGATTGGGCAGGGAGAACCCTTAGCCCACAGCATTTGAAGGGGAGCAGGGCGGGGGCGTGCCGGCCGAGAGTGGACAGGCCCTTTGGGGCCCACTGCCCTTCCCCAGTTGGAAATGCGGACAGCCCAAAGAGCAGGAGGGCGCGCTGGGAAGGCCCTGCAGTTTCCTGAGCTCATACAGGCTTCCCAGGGTGGGGAGCGAGCCACGGTCAGCAACAGTGTGTGGCAGAGCCCACAGGAGAAACGTTGCCTGCAGACCATACACGGGCAAGATCTGGGACCTCCACTCTGCAGGGTTCCGGGTCCCCCTCACTTCTCCCCACCCACCACCTTCTGCAGCACGGGCTTAAGGAAATATCAGTGCCTTTCTGCAAAGAAACAGAGGGTCCGTCCAGGTCTGGCTGCCTCTTCGGCTGCCTGTGTTTAGATCTCCAAAGGCTGCTCCCGGCAGCCCCTGCCCAGCTGCTCAACCTGAAAGAGGGGTTGGCAGCAAGGGCTGGGAGGCGCCAGGGCGCTGCGGCCAGACCCCAGGTGAGTTCCTTGACTCAGCGCCGCGCGGGTCACTGTGGCATAGCTGGGAAAACTGCCGCTTCTCCCTCGGGAGCGGAGGCAGAGGACCACGTCCTTCTTGGGGGTGCAAAATTACTGCTTGGACAACGCCTGCGTGCAGCAGCCCCACAGACTCCCATGCAGTCCCCCCGCCACGGGTGCAGCACCCCCGCCCCGCATGCAACACCCGCCCCCTCCGGCACAGCATGTCCCCCACGTGTGCAGCACCCCTGCCCCGAGTGCAGCACCCCCGCCCCGCATGCAACACTCGCCCCCCTCCAGCGCAGCATCCCCAACCCCCGCGCGTGCAGCATCCCTTGAGGGGCAGGAAACTCTTTGGGACACCCGGGGTCACGCCCTGCAGGGTAAAACCCCAGTCCTGGGCAGCCATCTGCAACCTCTCGCCATAGGCCCACCGCCTGCTCCGTCCCGGGATGCGCCTTAAGGGCGGGTCGGGCGGCAGCGGGAGCTCTGCTGCCTGATGGGACCGGACGTGGCAGGCGGCTGGCGGGAAGCTCCCAGGTCCCGGCCTCGCCCTGGCCTCGCCTCGCCCCCTCGAGTCTCCCCGAGCGCTCGCAGCGGCAGGGCGGGGCGGAGAGGCGCTGATTGGCCGGCGCGGGCACCGCTTGCAGCCGCCGCCGCATCCCACTGCGTTCGTACAGGCTCGTGTCGGCTCGGCTCCGCTGCGCGGCCCGGCTCGGCTCGGCTCCCCTCAGCTCCGCTCGACTCGGCTGTTCGGCTCGGCTACACGGCTCGGCTGCGCGGCTCGGCTCTGTTCGGCTCGACTCGGCCGCTGGGCTCGGCTGTTCGGCTCGGCTGCGCGGCTCGGCTCGACTCGGCTCTGTTCGGCTCGGCTCGGCTGCGGGACTCGGCTGTTCGGCTCAGCTGCACGGCTCGGCTCGGCTCGGCTCGGCTGCGCGGCCGCGGACTGGCGTGCGCTGGGGGCGCGGGGCGCGGGGCGCGGGCCTCGGCGGCGGCGGCGGCGGCGGCGGCGGCGGAAGCCAGGTGCCCCCGCCCGCCCTGTCCTCTCGACGAGGCGGAGGCGTCGCCGCGGGCCGGGCCTCGGACTGCCGCGTCGGGGCCGGCTCGGACTGCCGCAGCCTGATATCGGGCAAGAAGCAGCGGCGGCGACGGCGGCGGTGAAAGCGTTGGAAGCCCTTGGCACCTTGCTCGCAGCTCGCAGGCGCGGACGCATCAGCGATTGTGTCGCCCCGGCCCGGTCGGCGCGGACGGCGCTCGGCGGACGCGGGCGGACGCTGGGCGGCCCCTCCCTGCCCGCGCGCCCGGGCGCCCCTGGCCGGCGCCGGGCCCCGGAGCGATGACATCGACGGGGAAGGACGGCGGCGCGCAGCACGCGCAGTATGTGGGGCCCTACCGGCTGGAGAAGACGCTGGGCAAGGGGCAGACAGGTGCGTGCGGCCGGGGCGGGGGCCGGGGCCGGGGAGCCCGCGCTGGCAACGCGCTGGGTGGGGGGCGCCCGAGGGAGGCCCCGGCCGCGAAGCCACGGGCCCGGCCCGAGCCCCGGCCGCGAACAATGGGCGGCCCGTGCGCCCCCGTCCGCTCGTGCGTCCCGGTTCCGCTGCGGACCCCGCAGGCCGCTTGGCTGCGGTCGGCCGGGCGCGGCCCAAGGACACGCGGCGCGGCGCGGGGCGCGCGGGCTGACGGGGGCGCACGGGCCGGGCCGGGCAGGCTCCCCTCGGGCCCCGTTGCAGGTGCGCGGCCCGGGCCGCATTGTGCACCCCGGCGACCGGGCCCATTGTGCCGCGGGAGGAGGGGGCCGCGCGGGCGCCCATCTGCCGTCTGCCGCGGCCGCGCTAATAGGCGTGCTGCCCGAGCAGCTGCGCCCCCGGCGGGACTCCCACCTCCGCGCGCCGGCCACCGGGGCCTCCGGGCAGGCCCGATCTCCCTCCGCGGTGGGGGCGGGAGAGTGCGGGGACCTGCAGAGGGCTGGACAGCGCCTTGCGCTGCTCCGGCTCGGGCTCGGGCGGGCGGAGCGTCTGTGACCTGCATTCCCGCGGGGGAGGGAGAGGCCATTGGTGCCGGGACCAGAAGTGCGTGGGACCTGACCCGTGGAGCGGCCCCGCGGCCTGCCGGTGGAGGGGGCTTCCCGGTGGGGCCTGGCTGTCATGCTAGGGAACAGACGGGGTCCCTGCCTGTTCTAGGGAACCGGCGGAGGCCCAACCCAGGCCAGAGACAAGCCAGGCTACCCTCGCATGTGGCCAACTCTCCCCGGCCCGCTGGGCTTGGCTAGCCCTTCATCTGGTCCGTCAGGCGCGTTCACAGAGTCGCCTTTGTGGAGGCTGGGGCTCAGCCATTTTCTTTCTTCTCCTAGGACCGGCCTGTCTCTTGGTGTCCCCGAGGTCCCAGGGCACTGCTTCTCCCTTCCAATCGGAGAAGTTCCTTAGACCCGGGCAGGCAGGGGTGGAGGGAAGGAGGAGGAGGGCGCTGGTGCAGGGTGGAGGCTCAGCCCCTCACGGCTGCACAGAGGAGGAGCTGGGAGGTGGCGTTGGGGAAGGAAAGTGGGCCAGGCCCAGGCTCTTGGGGGAGGACCGTGGCTGTGATGTAACTAAGGCAGAGCTGCAGGAAGGGGTTTGGGCCGGGGGATTCAGGGGAGCCCCCTTGCATTGGGTGCACAACTTTCCCCCACCAGCCACGGCTCGGAGGGGCCCCTGGCCACAGAGCAGGGTCTGGGCAGTTGGATTGGTGTGGCCTGGGTTGGAGAGGAGGTGGCATTCAGCGCGTGTCACCTGGGTTCAAAATTCTCGTCTTTCCCGGAAAGAAAAACTAGTTTGTGAAATTCGTGGTGAAGGAAGGGCCCAGGGCAGCAGGATGCAAGAGTCAGTGAGATAATCCAATTAGGGTCCCAATAAAATGTTATTATAAGGAAACATTCGCGTGTAAGTGAAGATACGATGAGTTATGTGCTGTGCGATGAGTTATGTGCTGTGCGCGGCCTCGGTGGGAAGGGGCTGGTCTCCAGTCTTCATGGAGTTCTGCTGGCGGCAGTTAATTACGGGAGGTTTCCACTGTAATTAACAGTAATGAATACAAAAGGATGGGCTGTGTGTGTCTACAACGTGCTGAGAGAGATATTTAGAAAACAGCTCGAGGTGGGGGCACAGAGCGGCCCCTCTCGTGAGTTCTGACGGGCAGAGCGCAAGTGCGTCGCTGGCAGGGCCCTGGAGAAGGCCACCATTTCTGTATGTCTTCCCGTTGCTGCTGCTGACAGCTCACTGGGAGTTGGGTGGATGTGGGGCCCCGAGTGTGTGTGCTGGGCCACTTGGCACCAGATGCCAGGAGAGCTGCCAGGTCCCAAGCTCAAGAGGGAGATAGGCTTCCTGCCAGGAGACCTCCGTGGGAGAACGGGAGGCTGGGCTTCTGGCCGCCACTGCCCGAGGACGGTCTGGTCCTGCCGTTGAGAACGCTTCTCCGGGGACCTGGACACAGGGGAGTTGTGGAGGCCTTGCTTGGGGGGCTGTTGGTGTGGACACGACTCCAGCCCCTTCCCTGTGTCTGTGGCTGGCAGTTTTGTTTGGCCCTCTCTGTTCATCTCCTCCCCTCTGCCTGAGTCCTTGGAAGTGGGAGCTGCTCGACTCGAGGTGGCCACTGAGAGGGAGGTGGTCAGTGGCAGTGGCAGTGGCAGTGAACCTCATGGTACCACGAGAGTCCTTCCACCCAGCTGACCCAAGCTGGGCCTGTTGGAAGGTGGGCCAGAAATTTGCTCCAAAACCTGCCCTTGGGGAGTCTGGCCGTGTGGGGAGGGGAGACCACACAGCCTCCCTCTGGGGCCTGGAGGATGCCGCTTCTAGGCACTTCTAGGCACTGTAGGCTGTCTTCTTGTGCCTTTCAGCGCGAGTGCTCCATGGTCTCACCTGTACAGCACCCGCCTAGCTTGTTGGGTCTGTGCCTCCTGCAGGGCCGGTGTGGCTGCAGGGTCATCCTTCTGCATGGGGTGTTCTCTGCACAGCTCCCCTCCGTGGCCGTGGGGGTCGCCTCCAGTGGTCCCACTGCTGGAGCCAGGCACCAGGTGAAGCCATCAGAGCGCGGAGCAGCTGTGTAAGCCTCGCTGGCTGCTTGGTGGTTTCTGGCCGAGACCTGGGGGGATGTAGGCTGGGGTCAGGGTGGGCACCCACCTGCAAAGGTGCTGCCCCAGCTTTTCTCGGGGCCGAGAAAGGCTTGTGTGGCCTCATCTGAGCTTGACCCTTGCAGAGATGCCGAGACACAGTCCCTGCCAGCGAGGGCAACTGTAGAGGTTGGAGGGTGCAGACGCTCCAAGTTGGGGCATGCAGGTCCAGGAGGGTATGTGGCACAGGCTGGGTGGCGTTCGTCCCTGTGTGCCTTTGTCCCTGTGCCCCATCAGTATGCAGAGCAGTGCACCTTCTTGCCCAAACCTGGGCTCAGCTCCTGAAACCTGGGGGGCCTGGGAGGGCCCTGTGGGAGGAGCTGGAGAACCTCGGGCCCTTGGAGCTGTTTTCGGGGGCAGGCGGGTGGGCTGCGTGGGACGATGAGAGGCCTGCCCTTGGGAATCCTCTGTCTGGGGGGCGGGAGAAGGAATGTGGCTGGGATAGGGCTCCCCCGGGAGGGAGCAAAGGAGATAGGATGAGGGGCTGCACTGCAGCTCACCTGGCGGTGTTCACCTGCTGTGGCGTGGGGGAGGGCCCTAGGCTGCCAGGGACCTGGGACATCCCCTCCACATTCTCAATGGCCTTTAGGAGAATTGAGCCCTGGTGGCTGCCAGGGTGGAGAGGGGTCCTGGGGTGGGAGGAGCCAGTGAAGATGGAACAGGTGAGGGGAGGGAGAGCCTGTGCCTGGGAGACCCTGGGGGTGACCGCAAGTCCAGAAGCTGGAGGCAGATGTGGAGGGGAAGGAAGCTGGCCTGAGATGAGGTTGGTTTAGAAAGTTGAACAGGATGGGCAGTGATTGGCTGTGGTGTGCAGGCCCCTGGAGATGGCCCTGGAGATGGGCACTGGAGATGGGCACTGGAGATGGCCCCTGGAGATGGGCACTGGGGAGATGGGGCCACCCCTGGGGCTCGAGCCCTGGAGATGGGGCCCTGGAGATGGAGTCTTGGGAGATAGTCCTGGAGATGGGCCCTGGAGATGGAAGGCACTGGAGATGGGAGCACCTGGGAGATGGCCCCTGGAGATCGGCACTGGAGATGGAAAGGCACTGGAGATGGGGCCACCCCTGGAGATGGAAGGCCCTGGAGATGGGCCTGGAGTGCCGGGGAACCGGCATGGCGGGCAGCCCTCCCACCAAGTCTCCATGGCCCCGAAGTCCCTGGAAAGGCCCGTTGCAGGCTATCGTTGGCCACCGTGCCAGTGACTGCGCCAGGGTGGAGCCTCAAGTTGCTGCCCTAGAGTCTTCCCACCCTGGAGATGGGCCCCAGGAGATGGGCCCGGAGATGGAGTCCTGGAGATGGGCCGCTGGAGGTGAGGCACTGGAGGTGGGCTGTGCAGGGCCGAGCCTGGAGGCTCTTGGGCAGGTGGGACCCGGCAGCCTCCTAGCTGTGAAAGTGGACTCCGCGTGCGGGCCCTGGGGGTGCAGCCCTCGCGTCAGGCCCTGGCTGTCTGACCCCAGCTGTTTTTAGGCGGCGCTGTCTGGGGCTAGGCTGAACCCCTCATCACCCTGCACGGGTTTCCACAAGCTGGGAGTCTCAGGACGCTGTTCTCAAGGCGCCGTGCACAGAGCCCAGGGGAGCCGGCATGGCGGAGCCAGCCCCTCCCACCTGAAGCCTCCGTGGCCCCAGAGTCCTGGAAGGCCCATTTGGTGTGGGTGGCCACGTGCCAGTGACTGCGCCAGGAGTGGAGGCCTCAGGATTGCTGCCCCTAGAGTCTTCCCACCCTGCATGCCCTCGGCAGAGGCCCTTTCCAGCTGACTGGCCAGAGTGTCCCTGTCAGGGCCCTTGGCACAGAGGTTCCGGGTGGTGAGGACAGGCAGTTCCCCAGGGCAGAAGTGGGACGGTCGTTGGAGGTGGGAGGAATTCGTTGGAGGCGGGAGCCCTAGGCCCTGTCCTGTCCCCACCACGGCTGTGGCACCCAGGCACCTCGGGTGTAATGTGTGTGTCCTGTGGACATGGGTTTCCCTGCCTTGTCACTGGCTGGCAGTGGCTGAAAGACACTGGGCAGAGGCACCCCGCCCGGCCCTGGCCGTGCTGGCCGTGCTGTTTTTTTAGAGCGGCAGCTGTCTGGGGCTAGGCTGAACCCCTCATCTGCCCTGCACGGGGTTTCCACAAGCTGGGGTCTCAGGACGCTGTTCTCAAGGGCGCCGTGCACAGAGCCCAGGGAGCCGGCATGGCGGGCAGCCCTCCCACCTGAAGTCTCCGTGGCCCCCCGAAGTCCCTGGAAAGGCCCATTTGGTGTCGTTGGCCACCGTGCCAGTGACTGCGCCAGGGTGGAGGCCTCAAGTT